ATGGGCTCAAGTATAGCAGGGATTGTGGGGCTGGCGCGGGATCGGGCAGTGTTTCGTTCTGCTGTGCATGGGGTCGCTATGAGTCGGAAACGACTCCACGGCACTTAACAACAACAACACACAAATTATTTTTACTTGACCATTTGAAACTGCGTATGTCATTCACCTTTACCTCTTACATCAGTGTGTATTTTTCATAAGAGCAGCAATGTTATCTTACAGTTTAACAGTACTCTCACCAAAATCAGGAAATTTAAAATTGATAGAAATTGTGGTTCATGTTCCAATTTTATCAGTTTCAATAATATTCTTTATAGTTTTTCCCTCCTTTAGTCTAGAATCCAGCCCATTATCTATCATATGTTGCATTTAGTTGTTGTGCCACTTTAGTCTTTAATCTGGAAAAGTTCCTAACATGTCTTCATCTTTCGTGACATTGACATTTTTGAAGAACACAGGTCTCCTGTTACCTCTTGATTAGATCCAGGCAGAATACTACATAAATGGTGTTGTGTCCTTCTCAGATGTCACATCTTGAGGCATGCAATATCCATCTACCCCTCATTGGAAGATCATCATTTTGATCACTTGATCAAGGAAATCCACTGCCTGGCGTCTCCATTGCATATTTTCTGTTTTTCCTTTTAATTTATAAGCAGATGGTGGCAAAGCACTTTGAGACCTTCCGAATATCTTGTTCCTTATCAGAATTTCACTCTCGGTTTCTTGCTCGTTCATTATTCTTGCTGGATTAAGTCTTGACTCTGATGGTTGCAAAGTGATGATTTTCTAACTTTAACACTCCTGCATTTATCAGCAGGCATTCTACTGTCAAGAATCCCCCTCCTTTCTTATCCCTTTCATCTCTTCATTATCAGTATGATCTTGTGGATTCCTGTTTTAAAAAATAGATCATAATACATTCCTGTCCCTGTTTTGGTGTTCAAATTGTCCAAGATTTCAAGCTGGATTCTGTGTACTTTTGATTCTCATTATTAACAAATTCTGTCTTTCATTTTCATTCCTGAGCACATTTCTCTTTATTTTTATGTAATATAGTGATAATTTAACTGGTATTTTGCAAGATTAGTTTTGAACTTCATAGTTATTAAGACTGTACAGTTCCTTATACTATTTTATAATTAGGTTTGACTACTCTACAGCAGTTTTTTTTCTCCTTTATTCCTCCCACCTCCTCCCTAGAGTTATGTCTTCCCTGTATCCTTCCCTCCCATGCACTCCTGCCCCTCTGAGCTGTCTCCCTTTGCAAACACTGCCCTTCTGTTCTCCCACGGTTGATTGCTCAAAGGAGTGTATCTACCTGATGTAAATGTTCACCCATATGCTTGCTTGTCTTTGTTTGGATGGAAGCCACAGGAGTGAGTTGAGTTCCAGATCTGAAGGATAAGTAGGGTCCACAATCTCAGGGGACCCACCAGCCTCCATCAGACCAGCAAACCTGGTCTTTTTTTTTATGATTTTTGAGTTTTATTTCACATTGTTTTCCTACTCTATCCAAGATCTCCAGCACCGATCCACTTCCTGAGTGGTTCACAGTGGTAGCCAGGCACCATCTAGTTCTTCTGGTCTCATAGTCATATAGGCTGAGGATCACATGGCCCACTAGTCCCTTAGACTAATTGTTACCATGCATCTTTGCTTTTCTTCATTCTTCTTTCCTCTGGATAAGGGGAGACCCATTGTTACATCTAGTTGGCTGCTTGCAAGCTTTCAAGACCCTAGTCGCTATTCACCAAAGTAGGATATAGAACTGTGTTTTCGTGTACCTTGTTATGCCACCCGAGCTCAATGTCCACTGTGACCACGTTCCCTAACCCACAAGTCCAGCTACTTACTCCCTTAGGGTTGCTGGCTATGGCCAGTAAGCCACCACTACCTTGTCCATTGTCAGCTCTGCTATACACCTGGACATTCTTATAGCACAGACAAATATGCATGTAGAACCATCATCTGCCAGTACTATACATGGTCTTGGGCACACTCACCCCTGCCTCGACATACCTGATCATTCAGCCTGACCCCCATCTATTCACCCGTGGATCAATGACTGCCATCACTGACAGTGCAGTGCTGTACATGCAAAAGGGTTCATCCTTGTCTCTACCTCCTATGTACCTCTCTATGTCTTCCTCAGTGTTACTGTGTTGATAACGCACATTTGATACATTGCCCTTCCCTTCACCCAAATCAGTACTTGTCTCTACCAATTTAGCAGTGTTCCCTCTCCTCCCCTCCCATCCCTGGTAACCAACAAAGAAAGTTTCCTTCCATACATAAATGTTTCCTTGACTGGTTAGCTCATCCCCTTAATGTGTTGTCATATTTATTATTGGACATGAATTATTGTTATCTTTGATAGACTTCAGAACATTGAGCATATCATCCTGCATTTGTTACTGTTGCTTTTTACTGTTCCTGATTTTAGGGTTTTTTTTGCATGTTTATCCAAGAGGAGACATTATATAAGATAATCTTATCAGAAATCATCTTTTAAGAGTCTTTGGATCAGTGTATAATACTGCATCTATAGAAAGGAATATCATTGCTCCATTTAAAGATTCATGGGAAATCAGTTTTCTCACAGTGAAATCAATACCATCATCATGATTGTTCTGTCTCATTGCTGGGTTCTTCAGGAAATGGTGTGCTCTACACTGTGCTGTAGTTAACTGTGAAGTTGACATACTGAAGTGGAAGATGATACTGAGGGTGAGAAAACAAAGCTAGAAACAGTATCTAGGAATTGTTGCTGTTCCATCTTGAATAGCAATGTGGAAAGAATTGGACTTTATAAGCTGCAGAATGTTACATTCAGTATGATAAAGTAGGATTATGCAAGGGACTGGCTGAAAGAAAAACAAAAGCAGGATATTAGTTATCTCTGGTGAGAGAAGCAGAGGGGTGATGGGATGAGGGAATGTTTCATTTCTTAAGCTAGGTGGTACATCATAGATGTTTTTTGTTTTCATGTTTCATTAATTAGATATACTTGACATAAATCCTACTTTATTTTAATATATCAAATACTTTAAAAAAAGAAAAAAGAAAAAGTAGGGATAAAGTTGGGATTTTGAAGCCAGATAGACTAGGGTAAATCCCAGCTCTAGTGCTTACCACTGTGTGGCCTTGGGCAAGTTATTTATTTAACCTTTTGGAATTTTATTTTACTCATCTTTGAATTGAAGATTACAGGGTTTTAAGAATTAGGTATAAAGTACCAAGCATAGTGTTCACACAAAGTAGATGTCAGGTGAATATTAGGTATTTTTATTGTTACTACCAGGAACAAAATAATTTTAAATTTTGAAATCTTACTCAGATTTATTTTCCTGCCAGCAGTTTATATAATAGTGTAAATTTGGTTGTTGGCATTGTGGGCTTGAATAGGGTATTTAGGATGGAAACTAAACAATTTGATTTATGTTCTTATGTATAATTTAGGTGGGAGATCTACCGGATGCAGACATTAAACCTCCAGAAAACGTGTTGTTTGTGTGTAAATTGAATCCAGTGACCACAGATGAAGATCTGGAGATAATATTTTCAAGATTTGGGCCAATCAGAAGGTAATTAATACCTAGAATTACTGAAAGGGTTAGAAAAACTAGATAATAATTGATTATTTCCTAATATATATGTGTTTTTTTTTTAAATACATTTTACTAAAACATAATTTGTGTACAGTGAAATGCACAAAACTAAAGTGACATGGGGTGGGCGTGGGCGTGGGGCTCAGTGGCTGCTTTTTGCTTGGGGGGTGGCTCTGTTTTAAGGCCAGGGCCTGAGGTAGACGGGTGTGGCGTACAGGGGCTGCTTTTCACTTGGGGGCAGCTGTATTTTAAGGCCAGGCCCCGAGATAGGGGAGTGCTGGGCTTGGGGCCTACTTTTCGCGTGAGAGTGGTACTATTCTAAAACTGGGGCCAGAGGTGGTGGGTGCAGGACTCGGGGGCTGCTTTTTGCTTGGGGACAACTCTATTTTAAGGCCAGGGCCCTAGCTAGGTGGGCTTGGGGCTCGGGAGCTGCTTTTCACTTGGAGGTGGCTCTGTTTTAAGGCCGGGGCCCAAGGGAGATAGGTGGACATGGGGCTTGGGGGTTGGTTTTCACTTGGAGGCAGCTCTATTTTAAGGCTGGGGCCTGAGGTAGGCGGGCGCAGAGGGGTTAGGAACAACTAAGGGAGACGAATTTTTCTTGTCAGTTTGTCATACTGTGGTGGCTTACATATTGCTGTGAGGCTGGAGGATATGCCACCAGGGTTGCAAAATGCCAGCAGGGTTACCCATGGTGGACAGGTTTAGCGGAACTTCCAGATTAAGACAGAGTCGGAAGAAGGAAGAGGCCACCTACTTCTCAAACAATGGGCCGGTGAAAACCTTGTGAATAGTGGTGAAACACTGATATATTACTGGAAAATTGAAAAATATTGATATATTACTGGAAAACTTTATGAATAACCCTTGAAACATTGTCTGATATAGTGCTGGAAGATGAGCCTATCTGGTTGGAAGGCATTCAAAATTTGAGAAAGAGCTGACTCCTCAAAGTAGAGACAACAATGATATAGATAGAGTAAAGCTTTTGGGACTTGCATTGGCTGATATGGTACGACTCAAAATGAGAAGAAACAGATGCAAACATGCATTAATAATTGGAACATGGAATGTGTGAAGTATGAATCTAGGAAAAAGGGAAGTTGTCAGAAATGAAATAGAATGCATGAAGATTGATATCCTAGGCATTAGTGAGCTGAAATGGGCTGGTTTTGGCCATTTTTAATCAGACAACCATGTGATCTGCTATGCCGGGAATGACAAATTGAAGAGGAATGGTGTGGCATTCATCGTCACAAAGACTTTCAAGATCTATCCTGAAGTACAACACTGTCAGTGATAGGATGATGACCATATGCCTACAAGGAAGACCGGTTAATACTACTATTACTGAATTTTATGGACCAACCACCAGAGCCAAAGACGAGGAAATTGAAAATTTCTACCAACTTCTGCAGTCTGAATTTGAATGAGCATACTATCAAGATGTGTTGATTATCATTGGTGACTGGAATGCAAAAGTTGGAAACAAGAGTTACCAGTAGTTGGAAAATATGGCCTTGGTGACAGAAGTAACACTGGAGATTGCATGACGGAATTTTGCAAGACCAATGATTTATTCATTGCAAATACATTTTTTCAACAACATAATGGCTATACATGTGGACTTCATCAGATGGAATACACAGGAATTAGATTGACTACTTTTGTGGTAAGAGGTGATGATGGAGAAGTTCAGTATTTTTGGGCAAAACAAGGCCAGGAGCTGACTATGGAACAGACCATCAACTGCTTATGTGCACGTTCAAGTTGAACTTGAAGACAATTAAAACAATTCCAGAAGAGCCAAAATATGACCTTGATTATATCCCTCATGAATTTAGAGACCATTTAAAGAATAGATTTGATGCATTGAACACCAATGACTGAAAACCAGAGGAATTGTAGGATGACCTCAAGAACATCATCCATGAAGAAAGCAAGAGGTCATTAAAAAGATAAGGAAGAAAAGACCAAAATGGATGTCAGAAGAGACTCTGAAACTTGCCCTTGAGTGGAGAGTAGCTAAAGCAAATGGAAGAAATGACAAGATAAAAGAGCTGAACAGAAGATTTCAAAGAGCAGCTCAAGAAGACAAAGCCAATTACTATAATGAAATGTGCAAAGACCTGGAGTTTGAAAACCAAAAGGGAAGAACGTACTCAGCATTTCTCAAGCTGAAAGAACTGAGGAAAAAAATTAAGCCTTGAGTTGCAGTTGAAAGATTCTATGGGCAAAATATTGAATGATGCAGGAAACATCAAAAGAAGATGGACGGAATATACAGAGTCACTATCAAAAAGAATCGGTCAATGTTCATCCATTTGAGGAGGTGGCATAATCAAGAACCGATGGTATTCAAGGAAGAAGTCAAAGCTGCACTGAGGACTTGATGAAGGACAAGGCTCCAGGAATTGATGGAATACCCATTGAGATGTTTTAACAAATGGATGCCATGCTGGAGGTACTCACTTGGCTATGCCAAGAGGTTTGGAAGACAGCTACCCAGCCAACTGACTGGAAAAGATCCATATTTATACGCATTCCAAAGAAAGGTGATCCCATAGAATGTAGAAATTATCGAACAATATCATTAATATCACATGCAAGTAAAATCTTACTGAAGATAATAGAAAAATGGCTGCAGCAGTATATTGACAGAGAGCTTCCAGAAATGCAGGTTTGATTCAGAAGAGGACAAGGAGTGAGGGATATCATTGTTGATGTCAGATGGATCTTAGCTGAAAGCAAAGAATACCAGAAAGTTGTTTATTTATGTTTTACTAACTATGCAAAAGCATCCGATTGTGTGGAACGTAACAAATTATGGATAACGTTGGAAAGTATGGGAATTCCAGAACACTTGATTTACTCACGAGGAACCTGTACATAGATCAGGAGGCTGTTGTTTGAACAGAACAAGGGAATACTGCATGGTTCAAAATCAAGAAGGGAGTGTGTTAAGGTTGTATCCTTTCACCATACTTATTCAATCTACACACTAAGCAAATAATCCGAGAAGTTGGATTATGTGAGGAAGAGTGTGGCATCAGAATTGGAGGAAGACTCATTAACAACCTGCGATAGGCAGATGACACACCTTTACTTGCTGAAAGTGATGACTCGAAGCACTTACTGATGAAGATCAAAGACTGCAGTCTGCAGTATGGATTACACTTAAATATAAAGAAAACAAAAATCCTCACACTAGTCTAATAAACAGACTCACAATGGAGAAAAGATTGAAGTTGTTAAGGACTTCATATTGCTTGGTTCTATAATCAACACCAGTGGAAGCAGAGGTCAGGACATCTGATGACGTATTGCATTGGGCAAATCTGCTGCAAAAGACCTGTTTCAGGTGCTGAAGAGCAAAGCTGTTTCCTTGAAGGCTAAGGTGCACCTAACCCAAGCCATGGTGCGGTGTAGTAAATTACACAGTGTGTCTTTTCTAGCCATAAGTCTTTGTGAATTCCATGGTGGAATTTGCCATGAGCAACCAAGTAGCTCCTGATTGTTAGTTATCCACCTGGGGTATTTCTTTGGAAGCAGCACAAAGTAATTTTCTGAGAAGTTTGCTCTCTCTCAGGTGTATGGAATTCTGATGTTGGGATTGGTTAGTTTGGCTACTCTGCCAGGCTCAAAAGGAGGCCTCCTAGAGTCAGAAGTAGTCTCCCTGACTGCTGGCTGAAAAAGATGTGCTGCTGAGAGATATACATTGCTGAAAAAGAGACACGCACTGCTGGGAGAGAGACACCGAGAGACAATTGCTAAAGGGGCAAGGAGGCCGCACCTTCTGATCTCCTCTAACCCCACAAGAGGAAGACTGAATCACCATCAGTAGCCCAAGGCCTATCCCTGCGAGACCAGACATGCTGCCTCCCTCCAGCCCTTTCCCCAACCCTGACACCAACTGCTCCTCCCATGGCTCCCACCACCTCTCTGCTGGGTTCGATAAATTCGCTGCAGTAGCCACACAGCTCACAGATTATGGGGTTTAGTAGGGAAGCACCAGGCTACAATTCAAGTTCAGGAACAATGCTCAGTCTCTCTCAGCCCACCGTGTCTCAGCCAACAGTCTCTCTCCCAGCAATGTGAGTCTCTCGTTGTCTGTCAGCTAGCTGCTGACTGAAAGATTGGTGGTTTGAACTGACCAGTTGTCTGTGGGTCAAAGATGTGGCAGTCTGCTTCTCTAAAGATTACAGCCTTGGAAACTCTGTGGAGCAGTTTTGCTCTGTCTTACAGGTTGCTGTGAGTTGCAATTGACTCAGTGGCAGTGGATTTAATAGCTACATGCTTAAATCTGAGCTGGGTTTATATTAAAATTCAAACTTTCTAAAGCATAAACTTACTAATATTTATATAAATATGAATGTGCGTATGTTATTTTACATTAATGTTAAATACTCCATAATTCATCAATATTTGCACTAGGAATGCATTATGATTATAAAATTTTCTTAGTAGTTGTTTACTTTTGCCAAAGGAAAATGAAATATTTTCGTTTTATTTTTCTTTTCAGTGCTTAGGGATTTAGAACCATGGGCTGAGAAAGGACATTTAGAGGAGAAACTAGATTAATTTAATTGCTGGCCTGGTGAACTATTTTATTTTTTCCAACTTTTTATTGTGATTTGGGTGAAAGTTTACAGAACATATTGGGGTTTCCCATTCAACAGTTCATACACGTTTTGTGACATTGATTGAAATCCCCACAGTAATCTTCCCACTTACTCCCTGTGTTTACTCTTTCCATTCGTTCTTCTTTCCTATCCCTTTGTGCATTCTGAGCTTTATCTCTGGGCAGATGCTGACCTTTTGATCTCATGTGGTTGTTTGTTTTAAGGAGTTTTGTTCCACATCCGCTCCCCACCCCCACTCTATCGAGGCCCTCCTATTTTGATCCCTTTTACAGTGGTCAGCAGTGATAGCCAGGCATCATCTAGTTCTTCTGGTCTTAGGGTTGTGGAGGCTGGGGTTCATGTGGTCCATTAGTCTTTTAGACTAATCGTTTACTTGAGTCTTTGATTTTCTTCACCCTTCTTTGCTATGGATCGGGAGAGACCAGTAGTTTCACCTTAGATAGCTGCTCACAAAGTTTTAAGATCCCAGTTGCTACTCACCAAAGTTGGATGTAGAACATTGTCTTTAATGGACTGTGTTATGCCAGTTGACCTTGATGTCCCCTGAGATTATGATCCTGAGCCACCTTGACCAGCATCTCATTCCCTCAAAGTGTTTGGTTATGGCTAAGAGATTTTCATGACTTTCCCCCCATATGGTCTACTGTATTTGTGGATATATGTGCAGCACTAGAGGATGTAGAACTGTGTTTTTTGTATTTGTTTTTAATTTTGTTGTGAAAGTTTACACAGCAAATTCATCTTCCATACTGCAATACAGAAGTAGAAATAGCCTCTGTCAAACCCTATATATATTGATGGGTGTAGTCCCATTTGCTTCCCACACCTGTTCACCTTGAATGTCTGTCTACGTACCTACTTAGCAATGGTTGTTATTTTTGCTATTGTAGGATTTTGTGTGTAATAGTATTTAATTTTATTGCCTTTAACTCTTGTGCTTCTCCCAGTGTCTTCCTTTGCCTTGATCGTTTTGTGCTCACCTTTCCTTTACGTATATTGCCTTTCCCTTCACTCAAGTTAATATGTGTCTATCTTCTAATTAATAGCTTACCCTCCTTTCCCCTCCCACACTTGGGTGCCTTCAAAGAGTGTTTGTTTCTGAATGAAAACCTTTCTTCACCTTTCACAGTTGTTGTTGTTGTTGTTGTTATGTGCCATCGAGTTGGCCCCGACTCATAGCGACCCCTCCTTGGGTTTCCGAGGCAGTATCACTACGGAAGTAGGATTGCCCAACCTTCCTTCCAAGGAGTGGCTGGTGGGTTTGAACCGCCAGCCGTCTGGTTAGCAGGCAAGTGTCTTAGCCACTATAGTTGTCTCATACAATATTTATCCTTTTTGGATAACCATTCACTGGACAAAGATATCATGTCTGGTAAGGTGGAGGGTCAGTGAAAGAGGGGAAGGCCCTCAACGTGATGGGTTGGCTCAGTGGCAGCGGCAATGGGCTCAAGTATAGCAAGGATCGTGGAGCTGGCGCAGGACCGGGCGGTGTTTCGTTCTGCACATAGGGTCGCTGTGAGTTGGAGATGACTCGATGGCACCTAACAACAACAACAAAAACAAATTTCACTCAGCATAATATCCCCTAGGTTCATCCATGTTGTGAAGTGTTTTGCAGATTCATCCGTGTTCTTAAACATTGCGTGGTATTCCATTGTATGTATGTATCGTAGTTTGTTTATCATTCATCTGTTGATGGGCATTTAGGTTATTTCCATCTCTTTGCTATTTTGAGTAGTGCTGTGGTGGACATGGGTGTCTATATATCTGTTCATGTCATAGCTCCTTCCTATTTCTCTAGGATATATAACTTTCAGTGAGATTGCTGGGTCATGTGGTATTTCTGTTTCCAGCTTTTTAAGGAATTGCCGTACTGTTTTCCACAGTGGTTGCTCCATTTTACAGTCCCAGCAGCAATGTATGATGTCTCCAGTCTCTCCACACCCTCACCAGCATTTATTGTTTTCTGTTTTTTGAACTTTGCTATTAATCCTGGGGTGAGTTGGCATCCCACTGTTGTTTTGATTTGCATCTCTCTAATGGCTAATGATCACAAGCATTTCTTCATGTATTTTTGGCTGCCTGAATGTCATCTGTGAAGTGATGAACTGTTTTTTTTAAATGAATTTGTTCTTGAAGAAATATAGTTCCATGAGTTGAATTTTGCTTTGTAGTAAGTGGCTTATTTTGTTTTTCATTCTTGAAGAGTAATAATGAATGCATTCTTTATTTTTAAAGTCACTGTTGAAAACTTTCTTGCAGTTGTGAAGTTATCCGGGATTGGAAGACAGGAGAATCTCTGTGCTATGCTTTTATTGAATTTGAAAAGGTAAGTCATAACATAGATGTGTGCAGTTTGATGTTTATTTTGTTCATATATCACATTAAAATGTAAAAAATTATAGAACTTCTCCAGTCTCTTAAGATTGGAAAATTAGCTTGCCCTGCCTGGGTGGTGCAGACAGTTTACACTCAGACTACTGACCTAAAGGTTGGCGGTTCAGACCTGTCCAGTGGTGCCACGGACGAAAGACTTGGCAGTCTTCTTTCATATATATTACAGCCAAGAAAACCCTGCAGAGCAATTCTACTGTGTAACACATGGGGTTGCTGTGAGTTGGAATAGACTCAGCAGTAGTGGGTTTATTTATTAATTTGGGTTTTTATTGTGATTTGGGTAAAAGTTTACAGAGTAAATTCATTTTCCATGCAGCATTTCATACACATTTTATCTCACGATAATGACCTCAATTCCCCATGGTTTAATGCTCTCTTCCCTATAGTTACCTCTTCCCTGTGTCCTTTCTTCCCATGTACTCCTGCCCTCTAAGCTGTCTCCCTGTGCAAACACTGCCCTTCTGTTCTCCCACAATTGATTGCTCCAAGGAGTGTATCTGCCTGATGTAAATGTTCACCCCATATGCCTATCTGTTACTTGGCTGAAAGCCACAGGAGTAAATTCAGTTCTAGACCTAAAGGGTAGCTAGGAGCCATAGTTTCAGGGGTCTCACCAGGCTCTATCAGACGAGCAAACCTGGTTTTTGGGTTTTATTCCACATTGTTCTCCCACTCTGTCCAGGATCTCCTGTACCAATCCCCCTGAGAGTGTTTGACAGTGGTAGCCAGGCACCATCTAGTTATTCTGGTCTCATGATCATATAGGCTGAGGATCACATGGCTTGCTAGTCCCTTGGACTAATTGTTACCATGTGTCTTTGCTTTTCTTCATTCTTCTTTGCTCTGGATGAGGAGAGACCCATTGTTGCATCCAGATGGCTGCTTGCAACCTTTTAGGATCCTAGTTGCTACTCACCAAAGTAGGATATAGAATAATCTTTTTTTTTTTTTTAAATTTTATTGTGATTTGGGTGAAAGTTTACAGAGCAAATTCATCTTCCATACAGCAATTCACATATACTTTGTCTCATGACATTGACTGCAGTCTCCCACAGTGCAATAGCTCTCCTCCCACTTCCTCCCCATTGCTACCTCCTCCCTGTGTCCTTCTCTCCCATGCACTCCTGCCCGCAGAGCTGTCTCCCTGTGCATACACAGCTCTTCTATTCTCCTATGATTGATCTCTCCAAGAAGAGTATCTACCTTATGTAAATGTTCAGCTCACATGCCTGTCTTTTATTTGGCTGGAAGCTACAGAAGTGGGTTCAATTCCAGACCTGAAGGGCAGCTATATGGCATGGTCTCAGTGGCTCCACCAGACTCTATCAGACCAGCAAACCTGGTCCCCCTTTTTTTTTTTTTTTTTTTAAATAATTTTGAGTTTTGTTCCACATTGTTCTCCCACTCTATCTAGGATCTTTTACACAAATCCCCCTCCTAGTGGTTGACGTTGGTAGCCAGGCACCATCTAGTTATTCTGGTCTCATAGTTGTATAGGCTGTGGATCACATGGTGTACCAGTTGCTTGGACTAATTGTTTCCATGTGTCTTTGGTTTTCTTTATTCTTGATTGCTCTGGAAGAGGAGAAACCCATTGTTGCATCTAGATGGCCACTTGAAAGCTTTTAAGATCCCAGTTGCTACTCACCAAAGTAGGATGTAGAGCAATGTTTTTGTGTAGTGTGTTTTGCCAATTGAGCGTCATGTCCCCTGCGACCATGGTGCCAAGCCCACAGGTCCAACTACTCACTCCCTCTCGGTAGCTGGCTGTGGCCAAGAAGTAACCATAACCTTGTCTTTTGTCAGTGCTACTATACACCTGGACATTCTTACAGCACATACAAATACACATGTAGAAACATCATCTGCCAACCCCATATATGGTGGGCAAACTACCTCTTGCCTAGACATTATCTGCCAACTCTCTATACATGGTCATGTGCACACTCCTAGAACAATGTTTTTGTGTAGTATATTATGCCAATTGGGAGCTCTGGTGGCATAGTGCCTAAGGCATTTGACTATTAACCAGAAGGCTGGTGGTTCAAACCCATCAGGTACTCCTTGGAAGGAAGATGAGGCAATCTACTTCTGTAGTGGTACTGTCTGGGAAACCCATAGGAGAGGTCGCTGTGAGTCAAATCTGACTTGATGGCAGTGAGGGGTTTTTTTTTTTTTTTTTTGAGTTACGCCAGTTGAGCTTGATGTCATCTATGACCATGGTCCTGAGCCCACAGGCCCACCTACTTGCTCCCTCGGAGTAGCTGACTGTGGCCAAGAAGTCACCATAACCTTATCTCTTGTCAGCTCTACTATACACCTGGACATTCTTACAGCACATACAAATACACATGTAGAAACTTCATCTGCTAACCCCATACATGGTCATGGGCATACTACCTCTTGCCTAGACATACTTGATCGTTCAGCCTGACCAACCATCTATCCACCTGTGGATCAATGCTTGCCATCACTGACAACATAGTACTGTGTACACAAAGTGTTTCATCTTTGTTGTCTGTACCTTCCCTGCACTTCTCTATCTTCATCTTCATCATTGCTCCTTTGTTGATCACTCGCATTTGTTACATTGCCCTTGCCTTCACCCAAATCAATACTTGTCTCTACCTATCTAGCAGTGTTTCCTCCCCTCCCCTCCCCCCATAACCAACAAAGAAAGTTTTGTTCTCTATATAAACCTTTCCTTGACTTTTTACAATAATAAACTATTACAATATTTGCCCTTGTGTGATTGACTTACTTCATGTAGCATAATGTCCTCCAAGTTCATCCATGTTATGTGGTGTTTTGTTGATTCTACATTATTCTCTAGTGTTGCATAGTATTCCATTATGTGTATGTACCATAGTTTGGCTATCCATTCTTCTGTTGATGGGCACCTAGGTTGTTTCCACCTTTCAGCTAGTGCTGTGATGAACATGGGTGTGTATATATCTGTTCTTGTCTTGCCTCTCACTTCTTTAGGATATATACCTAGTAATGGGATTGCTGGATCAAATGGTATTTCTAATTCCAACTTTTTAAGGAGTCGCCATACTGCTTTCCACAGTGGTTGTATCATTTTACAGTCCCACTAGCAGTGTGTGAGACTTCCAGTCTCTCCACATCCTCGTCAGCATTTGTTGTTTTCTGCCTTGTTGAACTTTGCTATCAGTGCTGAGGCCGGAAGGTATCTTGTGGTTTGATTTGCATCTCTCTAATGGCTAATGAGGAGCTCTGGTAGCATAGTGCCTAAGGCACTTGACTACTAACCAGAAGGCTGGTGGTTCAAACCCACTAGCCACTCCTCGGAAGGAAGGTTGGGCAATCTACTTCCGTAGCGATGTGAGGTATGGATCTTGTTTCATTTTTCTGGAAATGGATATCCAGTTTTGCCAGCATCATTTGTTTAAGAGATTTAATAAATCTCTTTAAAATCAGTGGATTTTGGCCCTTTGTCAAAAATCAGCTGACCATACGCAGGTCGACAGATCTATTTCTGAGTTCTCAATTCTGTTCCACTGGTCTTTGTGTCCCAATACCAGGCATTTTGACTACTGTGGTTTTGTGTGAGACCTCCTACTTTGTTCTTCGATTATGCTTTGCTTATTTGAGATCTCTTTCCATATGAAGTTAGTGATTGGTTTTTCCATATCCTCAGAAAATGTTGATGGAATCTGAATTGGGATTGTGTTGAATGTATAAATTGCCTGAGTAGAATTGATATTTTCACAATGTTCAATCTTCCTATCCATGAACATGGTATATTCTTCCATTTATGTAGATCTCTTGGCGGTTTCTTGAAGTGCTGTATTGTTGTTGTTGTTGTTGTTATTTGCCGTCGAGTCGGCCCCGACTCATAGCGACCCCTCCTTGGGTTTCCGAGGCAGTATCACTACGGAAGTAGGATTGCCCAACCCTTCCTTCTGAGGAGTGGCTGGTGGGTTTGAACCGCCAGCCTTTTGGTTAGCAGTCAAGTGCCTTAGGCACTATGCTACCAGAGCTCCTAAATTGTAAATGATATTGATTTCCTTATTTCCTTTTCAGCAGTCTCTTTGCAGGTGTAGAGGAATCCAACTGGTTTTTGGATGTTGATCTTGTATCCTGCCACTGTGCTAAATCTCTCAATTAGTTCCAGTAGTATTTTTGCTGAGTCTTTTGGGTTTTCTATGTATAGGATCATATCATCAGCAAATAAGGATAGTTTTACTTCTTTCTTATACATTTGGATGCATTTGGTTTCCTTGCCTTATTGCCCTGGCTAGGACTGCCAGTACAATGTTGACTAGAAGTGGTGATAGAGGCATCATTGTCTGGTTCCTGTTTGCAAGGGGTATGGTTTCAGTCTCTCTCCTTTGAGAATAATGTTGGCTGTTGGTTTTGCATGTATGCCCTTTATTATGTTGAGGATTTTCCCTTTTATTCCTATTTTGCTGAGAGTTTTTATCAGCAATGGGTGTTGGATTTTATGAAATGCCTTTTCTGCATTGATTGACATGATGATGTGGTTTTTTTCTTTGTTTTATTTATGTGGCAGATGACATTGATTGTTTTTCTAATGTTGAACTATCCTTGCATACCTGGTATGAACCCCACTTGGTCATAATGTATTAGTTTTTTGATATACTATTGGATACTATTGTCTAGGATTTTGTTTAAGATTTTTACATGTATATTCATGAGAGACACTGGTGTGTAGTTTTCCTTTTTAGTGATGTCTTTGCCTGGTTTTGGTATCAAGGTTATGCTTACTTCATAAAATGAATTTGGGAGGATTCCATCCTTTTCTATGTTCTGGAATAGTTTGAGTAAGATTGGTGTCAGTTTTTCTTTGAACATTTGGTAGAATTCTCCAGTGAAACCATCTGGACCAAGACTCTTTTTTTGTTGGTAATTTTTTTATGACCTGTTCAATTTCTTCTTTTGTTATGG